TGAATGAGTTGTAAATAGGTCAATTTTACGCCTTTTTTCACCTCTTAATCCAATTTGCTAGAAAATGAAAAAGAAATTAAAAAAACTGCTTCCGACATTTTTTGCGCCTTTAAAGGACACACTCTTTGAGTCATATAATTTTTCAAAAAAATAATATTTGTTTTCAAAAAATGGTACCTAACTGTCAAAATTGTAGTTTTTGGTAAAATTATGCCACTTCCGGTGCCGACAGATAACACTTTTGGTAATAAAAAAAATGACAATTGAGACAACGAAGCATATGAACTTTGTTTTATACAAATCGAACAATAAAAAATTAAGCTAGGACTGAAAAACTGAATTAGCCAATGGAGGCCAAGGAAAATTACTGAGACAAAAAATTTTAACATTTTTGCGCAAGTCAGATGACTCTTTAATTCTGTGCACAACACGAGTAAAAAATATTCATCAATAAAAAAGTTTTTTGTAAAATTTTAAATTTCCGAAATTTGGCGCCTAATATCTTCGAATTTTTGCTGAAAATCAAAAATCGAAAGTAGCGCAGCTATGTGCCCTGTCTCCAGCTATGCCAAAATGTATCGAAAGTTAAAATCCCATGATTATTGTTAAAATTACCGCAATATTTGTAAAAACGATAACTTCGGTGATTTCGGACATTTCGCATTGTCGCAGAACGTTCAAAATAGCTTTATCCTCTAAGTCACACCCACTTTCCCAGTAAAACCGAAGAAATCGTAACGATGCGACAAGTAGTTGCTGAGATCTACTCAAAACAAAAGAAGAATAATAATAATAATAATAATAAGAATAATAATTTTAACAAAAACAATAGTGTTTCACACAAGCTTCGCAGTGTGAAACCCTAATAATAATTTTAACAAAAACAATAGTGTTTCACACAAGCTTCGCAGTGTGAAACCCTAATAATTTTAACAAAAACAATAGTGTTTCACACAAGCTTCGCAGTGTGAAACCCTAATAATAATTTTAACAAAAACAATAGTGTTTCACACAAGCTACGCAGTGTGAAACCCTAATAAGAATAATAATTTTAACAAAAACAATAGTGTTTCACACAAGCTTCGCAGTGTGAAACCCTAATAATAATAATAATAATAACTAGACCTGCAAGCAGCACTGAACCGGCTTTCAGGAATCAGACAGGAAGTGTGTCATAGAATAGCCTATTTATCGAGCTACCAAACGATACTTTAGATGTTTTGATCCCGTCACACCCGACGGTGAAATTCTGATTGTTCCAAGAGCACCGATTTTTTTACTGTCCTTTTTTTTAAAATATCGAATATTTTTTTGACTACTTCCTGTTTACGGATCATTATCGGGATAGATTTAACAAGTGGTATGGGAACTTAACTTCCTGTACCAGAAGTTTCAGGAAGATCCATTGGACAGTTTTACCTCCCTTATACCACTAGAAGCAGATTTACAGATATAACGATTTTTCGACTTTTTTAAAATATTGTATCCCTTTTGGACCATTTATACTATATTAAGGCTTTTAAATTTGGATTCACACCCCAGACCAGCTTTAGGACTCTAAGTAACAGAAGTTTAAGAAAGGAAATAAGAGTAATTTTCGAGATAAAAGCGTCTGAATAGGCTCCAAAAAGGAAAATACTAGATTTTCAGCATCTCATAATATATTACGTAACCAGCGATTTTTTACCATTGAGATGTCATAAGATCGCCCATTGTTTGGGCTATCCAATGACACTTTAGTTGTTTTGATTCGTTGAAATATGGCGTTGTAATCACTTTTTTCGCAATATCACCATTTTTTACTTTTTAAGTTGTTTTTTTCAAAATATCGGATATTTTTTCGACTACTTCCGGTTTTTGGATCATTGTCGAGATAGTTTTAACATGTTGTTTGAATAGGTAACTTTCTCATTTCTGCTCAAGTAGGATGATATTTTAACCCTGTGTAAAATACCATCAAAAAATATTCATAAATAAAAAAGGTTTTCGTAAAAAAAAATTAAAAAGGTTTTCGTAAAAAAAAATTTCTTTTTCAAAATATCGGACATTTTTTCGACTACTTCCGGGTTTACGATCATTGTCGTGATAGCTTTATGAAGTTCTTTGGATACTTAACTTTCTGTACCAGAAGTGTCAGAAACATCCAATGAGTAGTTTTGGAAAAAGAGATAAATCAAAGAGCGTTTCCAAAAATTTAACGATTTTTCAATTTTTTTCAAAATTTGAGGCCATTTTTGGACCACCTATATTATTTCAATGCTTTTCATTTTGGATTCACTATATAGACAACCGATAGGACTTTGAGTAAGAAAAGTTTAAGAAAAATCGTAGGCGTCGTTTTCGAGAAAATGGCGTCTCAGAATGTTAAAAAATCGGAAAATACTAGATTTTTCTTCATACAATAATTTATTTCCTTACCATCAAAATCGTATTATTTAGATACCATATGATGGTCCATTAATAGGGCTATCCAACGACACTTTAGTTCTTTTGGTCCGCTATTACCTAAGGGAGAAATCAATTTTTTCGCAAGTGCGACAATGTTTTTAACCTTTTTTTTTTTCATTTTTTGAATACTTCCGGTATGGTTATTATTGTCGGAATAGTTTTAATAGCCGGTTTGGGCACAAAAATAGCCACAGGGCTCTGTAATGATATATTACATTATCTGATCAGATAAAATGCCCCTGAGAAATCCTATGTTCAAAAGTGCCAACAATGCAAAAAAATTAAAATATCGAAAATTAAATTTCAATAACTACATACATATTATACATCGTTAGAATCGTAATTAGGTCAGCTATAAGAATATACAACCTTTTTTTGAAAATCTCTTAAAATAAAAAAATAGTAGAGCATTTTCCAAAATTTCACGATTTTTCGACTTTTTTCGATTTTCAGTCCGTTATTTCAGCTATTCCAGATATTTCAAAGTCGTAATGGAATGCTTCGTACACAAGACTACCACAAGGTCTCTCGATAGAGAAAGTTTCATAAAAATCGCTGGCGTAGTTTTTGAGATACAGGCGTCCAAAAATGCTAAAAAACAGAAAATACTTGATTTTCAGCGTGCCATATTTTGCTGCCTGATCATAGTATCCGCAGGAATTGGGTATCATTCAGTGGTCCAATCACCGCCCGACCAAATGATACCTTAATTTGTTTAATCCGTTGATATCGGACGGAGAAATCGTGTTTTTACCCAAAACACCAATTTTTCACGTTTTTTTTCAAAATATCGCATATTATTTCGACTACTTCCGGTTTAAGGATTCTTGTCGAAATTGCTTTATAAGTTGGTATTGGACTATAACTTCATGTTCCAGAAGTTTCAGAAACGTCAATTCTGCCATAAAACGAAACCCGAGCTCACAAAATGGGAAGAAAATTCGAAAAAAATCGAAAAATAAAGGGCGATAACACTGAATAAAACTTATATTACTGGAATCGGATGGACTTCAGGTATCCCAAAATGTAAGTCAAATTTGAAAATTTTGAAAAATAACAAAAATTGTCTCGTAAACAACATGTTTTCAATTTTCGAACGATAAAAGTCATAGACGAATGTTCGAAATTGAAAAATGTGAGATAGCCATTGTCTATGTAATTTGCTTGAAAATGGATAAAGAATTGACGAAACTATGGCCAATTTTCAATTTTTAGACAACGTACAAAGTTCGGTCACTTCCGGTATGCGCAGAAATTTCAAAAATATTTTATCAAGTAGCCACCACATGGTTTCCCGATAGAAAATCTAATTCCAGATCGATATCTGTTTTCGATCATGGAGATCTAGGCTCCCGCGGTAAATAATAATAATAATAATAACTAGATCTGCTAAGCAGATATTAAAGCTTTCATATTCACAGTCACTGTCACATGTCATAGAAATAATATGAACAGAAAAAAAAAAATCATTATAATGAGTAAAAATTTGGTGAAGTTAATTCGATTTTTCACTGGTAAATAATTAAATAGACAAGTGGCATAACTTGACCCGCATCCCATCAGCTATCCTGAAAAATGCTGGAAAAATTAAACAAGTAAATTGTGTTTAGTACTGGGTTAATTAAGACAGGCATATGCCTTTGCTATACAGGATGACATGAGGGAAATTTAGCTTGGGAGGTGTAGGCCTGCAGCCAAAATTTCTAGCTAGCTTAGAAACACAACTCCGCTACACGGTCTTCCATAAAAGAAAAACTATACATTTTTGGAAAGCTTATGATGCCAGGAAGACAAAATCTGGGAGTTCCAAGCAAAATGTTTGCAATTTATTGATTTAGGGCCAGATGAAATTCGTCAAAATTGTCAAATAAATGCTATTTGTGTATTAACAATTCTGAAGTTGACATAAAATTAAATAGTTGGTAAAACACCTCATGCCTTCATCCTTGGCAATGAACAGTTTATTGGACAGATTTTGATGTAAATAAAAATGCTCAAAACACAAATGTCATGGGTGAATAAAGAATTGTTGAAATCCATTAACGGTAAAAAAGAATTATCTCCCTTTCTGTCAAATGCCTGTAATTGATAGACTATCAGGTCTTGTATGAATCATAAGACCAGGTATGGGCAAACAAGCCCAATAATTATTTTGTTTGTTGGATCTCAAGGGCCTGTTAGGGTTGGTTGTTGGATGTTTGCTCAGAAATTATCGCTTGTATGGAACATGCTAGAGTCGATTTGTAGCATATTCTAGCCAGGGGATATGTTTGACAGTAGTTGAGTGATATGCTTTTGAAATAATGGAGATCAGTAGCACTTTATAAGCATTGAACCACATGATTTTTTTCCACTAAGATAAACATTCTAAACCCACATACATGTTCCCTTTCAATTAGCCACTACAGTATTTTTACAACTGTACATGTAGCTGTGAACTACTATTTCGGATATGATTAATGGTCAAATTACAAACATACATGTAGATATAAGTTAAAAAAAATAATTGTGTATCTGGGCTGGAATGAAGGGAAAGGTTAGAAAACAGGATGAACAGTTGTGAAATTATTTATTAAAGTGAAACAATCATTGAAAATCAAAATTAAACAGTTACTCTGCACATCAAATGTCATCAAAGTTAATCTTCATTATCATCATCACTGTCACTAAATGTATTAACATCAAATTCGGTCTCTTTAACAGTTTTTTTTTCATTTTCACATTGACTACACATGCACAGGTCTGTACAAGAAAGGGGGGTTGTGATGGCCTAGAGTGCCGCGCTTCGACCTCTAGCTGGTCGGTCACCTCTGGCTTGTGGCTGTGGCTTTGATCCCAGGTGTGAGCGTATGTGGCATGGAGATAGAGGCGAATTATTGAAATAAAATTGAAACCGTATGTTAGTCCCAAAATGACCTAGTTTGTGTTGAGTGGACGTTAAACCCCATTTCTCTCTCTCTCTCTCTGTACAAGACAACTTTGCTGGCCATTTATGATTCTTTCTCTTATGACATCTTCACAGAATATATTGTATGTGGTTTAATATTCGACGGAGGGCTAGTCATCTTTGCTGAAAAATATATATAAACATATACATGTACACAATTAAAACAAAATTCTGGAGCTTGGTTTACTCTCATTAATTTCGTACAACAGAGGAAAAAGACACTTACACAGGGGTTAACATCTTATTTTCATGCAGAAACCAGCTAATGAAGACAGGAAGGCATTAGCAGTACAAGGAGAGATAGAGAGGAGAATTGCGGTTTAACGTCCACTGGACAAAAACATAGTAATTTCAGGACTCACCCATGGTTCAGTTTTATTTGAATAATACCAGTGGCAAGAAGGCGGAGAATACAAATAAAAAAAACATCACAAATATTTACCTTTCTGATAACTGTCTAAGAAATTCAGTACATGTATATTGCCTATAACATTTTTGGTGATATCTGACCTCAATGGCCACACAATCTTGCCCTCTGATATGCCTTAAAATATTGATTGCTCGATACTTTTGAAAAAAATATGAAAGTGCGATTAATTAATGTGTCATCTTTTACTTTGGGGTTTTGGCGGGAGACATCAGCCATACTGTTTGCTTGTTTAATATCCCCTATACAATATACGCTCGACCTCATTACCCGAACTGGGGTAGAAAAGTGGGATCTTTGACAATGAGGCAATGAACTTGTACATTCTTTTGCAGCTGCACAAGAGGGAACATCAACGCCGGATTAACCATGGTGGTGGGGAGGGGGGCTGATACCGACCGTGAAGCCCCGCAAGGGGGTCGGGTCAGGGGGTTCTCCCGCTAAGAAATTTTAATTGGAGGCCGAAAACGTGATTTCATGGCATTTCAGGCACTTGTGTCGGAGCCATTTAGAAGTACCTCCCCCAGAAAAATAAAATTCTGCCACAAAATTAGACACAATCCATGCGGGTGCTGTGAAATTTCTAGAGGAGGGAGCTGGAACCCATGAGCCCGTTAAATTCGCCACTGTAAATGAGCACAGCTACATCAAACCTAATTTTGAGTCCCTCAGTGATAAATAACTTGATTCAAAATCGTATTATAGCCCCAACGACGATTTGATGAATGGAGACCGTAACGTTACGACAAAGTCTAACACTGTAAGTACCAAATAGTCATACGAGATATGTGCATCTCATCAAATTCAGCTTATACCATACCCACAATAATGTTACGGAGTCAGTGAGTTCAAGTTAGACAATACGCTGACCTTCCACTGACCATGCTTATAATATAAAATCTGTCAATGACAGCTGATTCATTGTTTAGTTTTTTATATGATATATTTAATATCAATAATATATGTATATGCATGCTTTATTTTACTTTACACGACCTCTAAAAATGCCCCAAATCGTAAAAATACGACTTTTTGGATTTCGATCTCCTTTTTTCGGCTACCCCGGACATTTTCAAAAAATGATACAATGATTTCACACAACAGGCCAGCTATTAGCCTCTCGATTGACAAGAGTTTCATCGCCCTCCATTCATTATAACCAATGTCATCGTGCCCTAAAGAATCAACAAATCAGCTTGCTTATCTCTGCTTACCCTAGGCAAAAAATGCTCATCTTTGAACTCAATCATGACATTGACCTAGTGAACGCCTACACCAAGTTTGAACATTCTAGCTTAATTAGAAGGAGAGTTCTTGTGTTCCAAAGTCCCGGCCCTTCAAATTGCTTCTATTTTTCATTTTCAATTCAAAATGGTGACCATCACGTGACCGAAATCAAAATTCTGATCTGATAGATTTTTAGGCATTCCTTCCAGGATTCCGAAAATATGACGCCCGAGTCTGTAAGTAAAATAGCAAAAAAGCCTTTTTGATTTTTCACGTTTAAAGATGGTGGCACTTCCGGTTCGATCGACAAACTCCATATTTTGTGTACGAATCAGTAATTACTTGTCTAGTATCGAATTTTTTTTTAGGTCATTCTGACCTATATTTCGACGATTTTTTTGAAAACTTTGATCCTTAATTTCACCAAGGGGAGATAATTTAGAAAATTTCCAAGGACATCATTGAAGTCGCATTGGCAAGATCTACTAACATTCTAAATTTCACGAAAATCGCACAACTATTAAAGAAGTTGTCAAATTGGTAATAACTTCCGGTTCGAAATGACAGGGACGAATTTTCGAAATGCCAAAATCTGAAATTGCAGATTTGAAGTAAATGTTTCAAGATACTCAAAGAAAAAAGAATTAGTAAAATAGGTCAAATAGTCACAAAGTTACAGCATTGTAGGTCAAATGCATTCCTTCGTAAAATTCGGTGATTTCGGATTCGTAAAACGTTTTGAAAATATATTTAATCAACAGCCACCACCCATTTTTGGGGGATAGGTAAAAGTTTCAGAACGATCCTATGGTTAGATTCTGAGAAATCCGATTTGTGGACAAAACACAAAAAAAAATAGATCTGCATAGCAGATATCAAAGCTTTCATATAAACTTCAAAAGGGGTTATTAGAATCTATGAATCAACAACCACTCTGACGGAAGATATTCTCTGGGCTAAAAAATCTTTTTTCTCTCAGCTACGAGAGATACGTAGAATTAAACCGGCCCAGAGCCGACCGTGTTGATACGAAGCCGCTTATTTGACATTGACACATAACTGAAGGTGAATAGGCCTACCCGTCCAGTTAATACAATGGGCAATCTCACATTGGTCCACTAAAGAGAGGCACATGCTAGTCGCCCCCTACTTCCCCAAGACATTTAGTCCAAACCTTGACTCTCATACATATAAACCATTTGGTACTACATGTACATGTATTTCGTACTTATATCATATTAAACCCCTCGGCCGCCATGTTGAATCACACAGTATTTAACGTTCTATATCCTAACATCTTTATGAAATCAACGACAAATCTAAACTTGGGCACTCCAACCATTTTTATTTTTACATCATTCAGTTTTTTTTAAAACAGTAATTCTATCACAAATTATAGTGAAGACTGGACCACTAAACTAGTTACCCATCAGTTTTTCTTTGTGTTAATGCGTTCTACATTTTCAAAGCAATGATTCTTATAATGTGCGAGCCGCCATGACACCGGCGGATATTATAACTTCGATAGGCGAGAAACTTCAGGTAGCAGTTGGGTTTCATCAAATCATATAATTATGCGGTACGGCTTCACCTTTATTTCAATGGGAATTGGTTTATTATATGTGCAGTGCAGTTTTAGGTCAGTTTATGTGTAAATTAAGGGAGCTATACATAGGCCAGTAACCCTTTTGTAGTCATTTGACTAAAAAAAACTTGCGGAAAGGAACTCCGTAGGACAAGCCACTACTGTGGCAGGAGTAAGGCGGAAGACATCAGTAGTGGAACCATTTCTAAGTTAATCCCGAAGTGCGTTGCTATTGTAAGAATATATAAAATCGGGTTTCCGATCCGCTTTTTTTTTGCTGTAGTTTGAGTAATGAGTTAGAGCGTATATTTTGTAGTCAAAAAATCATTGCAAATAGAAGACCTCATCCCCACCACCACCAACCTGTAATACACTAGCTAGCTTGTGTATTTCCATATTCCATTTCCGAGAGATAGATAGAGAACACGCGAAATATAAAGTGATTTTTCTTACAATCAGGGACCATAATTCATGAAGTTACGATTCGATATGCGCAAATATCGAAAGGAACCATATCTTTGGGTTATAAACATGCATGTCAAGTTTCATCAAAATCTTTCACTGTGAAAAACCGGGGCTAAGTCATCTGAAATCAAACAAATTTTACAATGTAGGTAGTGAAAACAAAATGTTATGTTAAGCGTTGTTCGAGGGTGGGGTGGGTGCATAAAATTCCAAATGCAAAGGGTTATTTTTTGTGCACGCCAATATGCACACAGGATTTCGATTTTTCGTCCTACCTAAAAAACTGCACGCAAAGTTAGTTGTCGGGCCTTTGGTCAAGAACCACAGACAAAGGGAGAGAACGGGGACCTCTGTTTTGCATACCATCCAAGCGACTAGGCACTAATCCTTGTACCATGGACGAGGGGACGGGCGTTTTTCGTCCCATCGAAACGACTAGACACAGATCCTTGCTAGGACTTCCATACTTCACCACTGCCAACGGGGAACCACTTTGACCTCGGGTTTTCGTACCATCCAAACGACTAGACACTAATCCTTGCAAGGCCTTCCGTTCTGCAGCAAATGAGCCACGCTGGCCTCGTTTTGTCGTAACATACAAACGACTAGACAATGTTTCATAATTTAGTCATGTTCGCGTGGGTGGGTTGGCAGCAGAATTGATGTGTACATGATAGTGACACGAGGAGGGGGGGGGGAGCGGGGTGTACACAAATCACACAAATCAGAGCTTTGTAATACACGCATATACTTGATATACTAAATACACAAATGGCTGAATTTCGAGACATTTCTGGCACTCTTTTATCACATAATGAGAACACTGCATTAATTTCTATATATCAATAAAATATGCCTCAGACCCATTGTTTATTTTTAAATTTGAATTAGACTCGTAACAAAATATATTTTCTGGCAACAAATAGCATATAAATAAAACTAGATTTACTTTCTGATTATTTTTTTTAAATGAAATCATTCCAGGGCTTTTATTGACATTTCAGAAAATGTAGAGTTGGTCCCATGCACTTGAGGCCCAAGGTCCTTGAAGTTGTACAGCTGCACCCGGTGACCGATATTTATTTAACGGGGAATAAGTGATAATTCATATTATAACAGTAAATAATTAAAATATCCCATAGGGATTATAATAATATGTATATCATTGACTTGAGGCCAGTGTCCTTTAAGTTGTACAGCGGCACCAGGTGACCGATATTTATTTAACGGGGAATAAGTGATAATTCATATTATAGCAGTAAATAATTAAAATATTTCATAGGGATTATAATAATATATCATGTCTGGGTATTACAGGGTTAAAACAAATATTAAATTCCGAAAATCGTTTTTTTGCTAAAACTCTTTTTTTTTAATGGGATCAAAATGGGGGTAAAGCACAGAGTCCGGGGTGGTAATGGGCGTATTGTGTCCAAATTTCATGGTTTTCGGACAATCGGTGCCGGTGTCACGGCGAAATTCCACTTTTTTCCCCTCATGGAAGCCGTAAATTGACTTAGAAAAAAAAAACGACGAAAGGCAGGTGACAAGAACAAACGACTTGAACGAATGCAGGTATCACCTTGAAATTTTCAGGGTGCCTAGGTACCAACGTGAAAAGTTGCTCGCCGGAATTTAGTACTCATGGTACCGTTGGTTCCTGTGTAGCGCATGCGCGAAATCAAAACCAGCTAAACTCGAAAACAACCTTGTCGGCACGGAAAACATCAAAGGAGAAATTCGAATTTTTGAAATATTCAAATACCAAACATTCGACCATGATCCAGGCTATCCTCAAATGTATTAATTTCGGTAATAGGAGACAGATTCTCTAAGCCACGACCAATTGTGTATGTTTTCAAGCCCATAAATGTGGATTTTTCACTAATTTTCATTTTCATTTCAAAATGGCGTCCATCAGTTGACCTAAATCAAAATTCTAAACCGATAGATTTTTAGGCTTTCCTTCAAGCATTCAGAAAATGTAACTCTTATGTCTTTAAGTAAAATATTGCAAAAGCCGTATGGACTTTTCACATTTTGAGATGGTGGCACTTCCGGTTTGCTCGACAAACTCCATATTTTGTGTACTCATCAGTACTGTCTTAGCTAGTACAGAAAAAAAATTTCAAGGCAATCTGACCTATATTTCGTCGATTTTTTTGAAAACTTTGATCCTTAATTTCACCAAGGGGAGATAATTTAGAAAAATTCCAAGGACATCATTGAAGACGCATTGGCAAGATCTACTAACATTCTAAATTTCACGAAAATCGCACAACTATTAAAGAAGTTGTCAAATTGGTAATAACTTCCGGTTCGAAATGACAGCGACGAATTTTCGAAATGCCAAAATCCGAAATTGCAGATTTGAAGTAAATGTTTCAAGATACTCAAAGAAAAAAGAATTAGTAAAATAGGTCAAATAGTCACAGAGTTACAGCATTGTAGGTCAAATGCATTCCTTCGTAAAATTCGGTGATTTCGGATTCGTAAAACGTTTTGAAAATATATTTAATCAACAGCCACCACCCATTTTTGGGGGGATAGGTAAAAGTTTCAGAACGATCCTATGGTTAGATTCTGAGAAATCCGATTTGTGGACAAAACACAAAAAAAAAATAACAATAACTAGATCTGCATAGCAGATATCAAAGCTTTCATATAAACTTCAAAAGGGGTTATTAGAATCTATGAATCAACAACCACTCTGACGGAAGATATTCTCTGGGCTAAAAAATCTTTTTTCTCTCAGCTACGAGAGATACGTAGAATTAAACCGGCCCAGAGCCGACCGTGTTGATACGAAGCCGCTTATTTGACTTTGACACATAACTGAAGGTGAATAGGCCTACCCGTCCAGTTAATACAATGGGCAATCTCACATCGGTCCACTAAAGAGAGGCACATGCTAGTCGCCCCCTACTTCCCCAAGACATTTAGTCCAAACCTTGACTCTCATACATATAAACCATTTGGTACTACATGTACATGTATTTCGTACTTATATCATATTAAACCCCTCGGCCGCCATGTTGAATCACACAGTATTTAACGTTCTATATCCTAACATCTTTATGAAATCAACGACAAATCTAAACTTGGGCACTCCAACCATTTTTATTTTTACATCATTCAGTTTTTTTTAAATAAGTAATTCTATCACAAATTATAGTGAAGACTGGACCACTAAACTAGTTACCCATCAGTTTTTCTTTGTGTTAATGCGTTCTACATTTTCAAAGCAATGATTCTTATAATGTGCGAGCCGCCATGACACCGGCGGATATTATAACTTCGATAGGCGAGAAACTTCAGGTAGCAGTTGGGTTTCATCAAATCATATAATTATGCGGTACGGCTTCACCTTTATTTCAATGGGAATTGGTTTATTATATGTGCAGTGCAGTTTTAGGTCAGTTTATGCGTAAATTAAGGGAGCTATACATAGGCCAGTAACCTTTTTGTAGTCATTTGACTAAAAAAAACTTGCGGAAAGGAACTCCGTAGGACAAGCCACTACTGTGGCAGGAGTAAGGCGGAAGACATCAGTAGTGGAACCATTTCTAAGTTAATCCCGAAGTGCGTTGCTATTGTAAGAATATATAAAATCGGGTTTCCGTTCCGCTTTTTTTTTGCTGTAGTTTGAGTAATGAGTTAGAGCGTATATTTTGTAGTCAAAAAATCATTGCAAATAGAAGACCTCATCCCCACCACCACCAACCTGTAATACACTAGCTAGCTTGTGTATTTCCATATTCCATTTCCGAGAGATAGATAGAGAACACGCGAAATATAAAGTGATTTTTCTTACAATCAGGGACCATAATTCATGAAGTTACGATTCGATATGCGCAAATATCGAAAGGAACCATATCTTTGGGTTATAAACATGCATGTCAAGTTTCATCAAAATCTTTCACTGTGAAAAACCGGGGCTAAGTCATCTGAAATCAAACAAATTTTACAATGTAGGTAGTGAAAACAAAATGTTATGTTAAGCGTTGTTCGAGGGTGGGGTGGGTGCATAAAATTCCAAATGCAAAGGGTTATTTTTCGTGCACGCCAATATGCACACAGGATTTCGATTTTTCGTCCTACCTAAAAAAACTGCACGCAAAGTTAGTTGTCGGGCCTTC